GTTTGATCGGGATTTGAGGTGAGAGCAGTGTCGACTGGTGCGAGTGGACCGTTTGCTGTGAGCGGCGCCGGAGATGGTCGTTGACTATTAATAAAGGTAATGGTGTAGTCATCACCAAGTCATTTGCGCGCAGAAGAGTACGAGAGAATCTTTTTTTTTTTTTTTTTTTCANTATTGAATTTTTTATTTTTTTTTTTTCAGAGAGTACGATAGGGGCGGGGATGCATGATATGCAATTAGAAGAAATATATTGAAACTTTTTTTTTTCAGAGAGTGCGATAGCGGGAATGCATGATATGCTATTAGAAGAATATATCAAAGGGCCCGGGTCCATTCTTTTATTCCATTTAAATAATAAAAAAAGTAATGATGTGGGCTCCACCAAATCATTTGCATGTGGATTAATCACTATTCAGTCTACACCAGTACACCATGTAACATGGCATGACGCCAACTTCTACATTATTTTTTTATTTTCAAATCGTATATTGCAAACTATTTTATTATTCATTAAATGAGCCTCCTAGACAGGGGCGGACGTAGACTCGCAAGATTGAGGGGGCACAATTGTAATATTTGTCGTGCGAGTCCCGCCATAGTGTCGTCAGCGTCACCTAGCTTCCCATCGCTGGATAAAGCTCTTGAGTGGCGCTTTCCGGCGAGCCACTGTGCATAGGCGAGGCTTTGCGACGGTGGACCTGGTGCGTGGCGTGTGAGGAGTGCAGCCTGGGGAACGAGCCGAGGAACCGTGGCTACCGGTCTTGACCACCAGTGAGCCGCGACTTATCGAGGGTGCCGGGTTCAAGGTCGATCTGAGCCGACTTCATGTCCCGCTTCGTCAATCGATTGGTCAAAAGGGGGTTTTTGTTCCTTCTTTTTATTTCCTTATTCTCATCATAGTTTCTCTGTAGTTTTACTGTTTAATATTGTTATTGCTAGGACTTAAACCGTTCAGGTTTAATAGGGCTAAAAACGGGCCTCGAAAGAAGGTGCTTGGATCAGCCAGGGAGCCGGACAGTAGAGCGGGAGTCCACTGGACACGAGCAGCACACCCGGGACAACGAGAAGCCTTGCATTGCAGCCAGTCGAGCCAAGAGACGAGCTTTCGCTGCCAATGGGTCCACCAGTGGGTTTCGGATGGCCACACAAAAGTTCTTAACACGCATTCCACAAGATAGCCGATTTACTCTATTTTCGTCATAGTTCGACAAGCAAATCAACTCCAAAATTCCTAAAAATTAAAACACAACATCTACTCAATATTCTAATATTTTTGGAATTTAAATCACATTTTTCTTACGAGTATAACTTCAGATACGGATTTTCAAGTATTACTCATCTTAAATTTGTATCTTCTTGTATCTTCTTTATTTACTTGACTTCAAATTCTTAGAATCTTTAAAATATTTGCCCAAGCCTTTAGAGGAGCTTTCTCGAAGCCTACCTTCTTCGGGAAATAAAACAGAAAATTGGAAGTTAGTCAAAAACTCAGTCGTTCGGCCTTTGTCACCTCGTCGTGCGTGCGGCTCGACCTCGGCTTCCTTGGCGATGGGTTCTGCAGCTGTACAGAGGCGTGGCTGGAGCTTGCTGGAAGTTCTCTGCGTCACTGGGTAGAGGCTTGGCTCGCTAGGAGTTTGATCGGGATTTTAGGGACAATTGGCCCGATTTTCTGAGCTTAGAAGGGGTTTTTACTTGCTGAAAAATCTGGAGTGGAGAAGGAGAGAGGGAGAGAGCTTGGCTATTAATAAAAGTAATGGTCTAGTCACCACCAAATCATTTGCGTGCGGAAGAATACGATAGAATTTTTTTTTTTTTTTTCTTTCAGAGAGTACGATAGGGGCGGGGATGCATGATATGCTATTAGAGAAAATATGTTTAAACTTTTATTTTTTATTTCACGGAGTGCGATAGGGGCGGGAATGCATGATATACTATTAGAAGAAATATATTAAAGGGCCCGGGTCCATTCCCTTATTCCATTTTATTAATAAAAAAAGTAATGGTGTCGGAACCACCAAATTATTTGCATGCGGATTTATCACTATTCAGTCTACACCAGTACACCCTGCAACATGTCATGAAGCCAACTTCTACATTATTTTTTTATTTTCAAATCGTATATTATAAATTATTTTATTATCCATTAAATGAGCCTCCTATACAGGGGCGGACATAGACTCGCAAGATTGAGGGGTCACAAATGTAATATTTGCCGTCAGAGTGCCGCGATAGCGCCGTCATCGTCGCCTAGCTTCCCGTCGCTGAATAAAGCTCTTGCGGGGAGCTTTTCGGTGAGCCTCTGTGCATAGGCAAGGCTTTGCAAATAGTGGGCCTGGTGCGTGGCTTGTGAGGAGGTGCAGGACGGGGAACGAGCCGAGGAACCATGGCTGCCGGGTATAAGGACGATCTGAGCCGACTTCGTGTCCCTCTTTGCCAATCGATTGGTCAAAAGGGGGTTTTCGTTCCTTCTCTTTTATTTCCTTATTTTCAACATATTTTCTGTATATTTTTCCCGTTTAATATTGACGTTGCTAGGACATAAACCGTGTGCATACTTTCAGGTTTAATCAGGCTGAAACGGGCTGAAAACTGGCCTCCAAAGAAGGTGCTTCGACCAGCCCGGGAGCTCGGACAGCAGACCGTGAGTCCACTGGACACGAGCAGCACACCCGGGACAAAGGGAAGCCTTGCATTGCAGCCAATCGAGCCAAGAGACGAGCGTCCGCTGTCAATGAGTCGTCCAGTGGGTTTGGGACGGCCACACAAGTTCCTAACATGCATTCTGCAAAATAGTCGATTTACTCTATTCTCGCCATAGTTCGACAAGCAAATCAACTCCGAAATTTCTAAAACTTTAACCACAACATCTACTCAATATTCTATGATTTTTGGAATTTAAATCATGTTTTTCTCACGAGTGTAACTTCAGATACGGATTTTCAAGTATTACTCATCTTAAATTTGTATCTCCTTTTATATTCTTTAAAATCTTTAAAATAGTTGCCCAAGCCTTTGGAGGAGCTTTCTCAAAGCCTACCTTCTTCTGGAAATAAAAAAGAAAATCGAAAGTTAGTCGGAAACTCAGTCGTTCGGCCTTTGTCTTCTCATCGTGCGTGCGGCTCGACCTCGGCTTCCTTGGCGACGGGTGCTGCAGCTATACAGAGGCGTGGTTGGAGCTTGCTGGAAGTTCTCGGCGTCGCTCGGTAGAGGCTTGGCTCGCCGGGAGTTTAATCGGGATTTTAGGGAGAATTGACCCGAAATTTTCTGAGCTTAGGAGGGCTTTTTACTTGCTGAAAAATCTGGAGTGGTGAAGGAGAGAGGGAGAGAGCTTTGCTATTAATAAAAGTAATGGTGTTGTCACCACGAAATCATTTGCGTGCAGAAGAGTATGAGAGAATCTTTTTTTTTTTTTTTTTCATAGAGTACNAGAGTACGATAGGGGCGGGGATGCATGATATGCTATTATAGAAAATATATTGAAACTTTTTTTTTTCAAAGAGTGCGTTAGGGGCGGGAATGCATGATATACTATTAAAAGAAATATATTAAAGGACCCGGGTCCTTTCCCTTATTCCATTTTAATAATAAAAAAGTAATGGTGTCGGAATCACCATATCATTTGCATGCGGATTTATCACTCTTCAGTCTACACCAGTACACCATGCAACATGTCATGAAGCAAACATCCACATTATTTTTTTATTTTCAAATCGTATATTGCAAATTATTTTATTATCCATTAAATGAGCCTCCTATACAGGGGAAGACACATACTCGCAAGATTGAGGAGGCACAAATGTAGTATTTGCCGTCCGAGTGCCCCCATAGTGCCGTCTTCGTTGCGTAGCTTCCTGTCGCCGGATAAAGCTATTGAGTGGAGCTTTCCGACGAGCCTCTGTGCATAGGCGAGGCTTTGCGACGGTGGACCTGGTGCGTAGCTTGTGAGGAGGTGCAGCCCGGGGAACGAGCCGAGGAACCGTGGCTGCCGGTCTTGACCACCATTGAGCCTCGACTTACAGAGGGTCCCGGGTACAAGGACGATCTGAGCCGACTTTGTGTCCCTCTTCGTCAATCGAATGGTAAAAAAAAGGGGGTTTTCGTTTCTTCTCTTTTATTTCCTTATTTTCATATATTTTCTCTGTATTTTTCCCGTTTAATATTGTTGTTGCTAGGACTTAAACCGTGTGCATACTTTCAGGTTTAATCGGGCTGAAAATGGGCCCCGAAAGAAGGTGCTTGGACCAGCTTGGGAGCTCGGACAGCAGACCGGGAGTCCACTGGACACGAGCAGCACACCCGGAAAAAAGAAAAGCCTTGCATTGCAACCAGTCGAGCCAAGAGACGAGCTTCCACTACCAATGAGTCGACCGGTGGGTTTGGGACGGCCACACAACAGTTCCTAACATGCATTCCGCAAAATAGCCGATTTACTCCATTTTCGCCATAGTTCGACAAGCAAATCAACTCCAAAATTCCTAAAAATTTAACCACAACATCTATTCAATATTCTAAGATTTTCGAAATTTAAATCACATTTTTCTCACGAGTATAACTTCAGATACGGATTTTCAAGTATTACTCATCTTAAATTTGTATCTCCTTTTATCTTCTTTATTTATTTGGCTTCATAATTTTTAAAATCTTTAAAATAGTTTCCCAAGCCTTTGGAGGAGCTTTCTCGAAGCCTACCTTTTTCTGGAAATAAAACAGAAAATCGGAAGTTTTTCGAAAACTCAGTCATTCGGCCTTTGTCTACTCGTCGTGCGTGCGGCCTGACCTCGACTTCCTTGGCGACGGGTGCTGCCGCTGTACAGAGGCGTGGCTGGAGCTTGCTGGAAGTTCTCGCCGTTGCTCGGTAGAGGCTTGGCTCGCCGGAAGTTTGATCGGGATTTTAGGGAGAATTGACCCAAAATTTTCTAAGCTTAAGAGAGGTTTTTACTTGCTGAAAAATTTGGAGTGCTGAAGGAGAGAGGGAGAGAGCTTGGCTATTAATAAAAGAAATGGTGTAGTCACCAANGAGTACGATAGGGGCGAGATACATGATATGCTATCAGAAGAAATATATTGAAACTTTTTTTTTTCAAAGAGTGCAATAGGGGCAGGAATGCATGATATGCTATTAGAAAAAATATATTAAAGGGCCCGGGTCCATTCCCTTATTCCATTTAAATAATAAAAAAAGTAATGGTGTGGGCACCACCAAATCATTTGCATGCGGATTAATCACTATTCAGTCTACACCAGTACACCATGCAACATGTCATGAAGACAACTTCTACATTATTTTTTTATTTTCAAATCGTATATTGCAAATTATTTTATTATCCATTAAATGAGCCTCTTATACATGGGCAGACGTAGGCTCGCAAGATTAAGGGGGCACAAATGTAATATTTGCCGTCGGAGTGCCGCCATAGTGCCGTCATCGTCGCCTAGCTTCCCGTCGCCGCATAAAGGTCTTAAGTGGATCTTTCCGGCGAGGCTTTGCGACGGTGGACCTGGTGCGTGGCTTGTGTGGAGGTGCAGCCCGGGGAAAGAGCCGAGGAACCGTGGCTGCCGGTCATGACCACCACTAAGTCGCGACTTACCAAGGGTACCGGGTATAAGGACGATCTGAGCCGACTTCGTGTCCCTCTTCGTCAATCGATTGGTCAAAACGGATTTCCGTTCCTTCTCTTTTATTTCCTTATTTTTGGCATATTTTCTCTGTATTTTTCCCGTTTAATATTGATGTTGCTAGGACTTAAACCATGGGCATACTTTCAGGTTTAATCGGGCTGAGACGGGATGAAAACGACCCCGAAAGAAGGTGCTTGGACCAGCCCGGGAGCTAGGACAGCAGATCGGGAGTCCACTGGACACGAGCAGCACACTCAGGACAAAGAGAAGCCTTGCATTGCAACCTATCGAGCTAATAGATGAGCTTCTACTGCCCATGAGTCGACCGGTGGGTTTTGGACGGCCACACAGCAGTTCCTATCATGCCTTCCACAAAATAGCCGATTTACTCTATTTTCGCCATAGTTCGACAAGCAAATCAGCCCCAAAATTCCTAAAAATTTAACCACACCATCTACTCAATATTCTAGGATTTTTCAAATTTAATTCACATTTTTCTCACGAGTATAACTTCAGATATGGATTTTCAAATATTACTCATCTTAAATTTGTATCTCCTTGTATCTTCTTTATTTACTTGACTTCTTAATTTTTAGAATCTTTAAAATAGTTGCCCAAGCCTTTGGAGGAGCTTTCTCGAAGCCTACCTTCTTCGGGAAATAAAACAAAAAACCAGAAGTTAGTCAGAAACTCAGTCGTTCGGCCTTTGTCTCCTCATCGTGCATGCGGCTCGACCTCGGCTTCCTTGTCGACGGCTGCTGTAGCTGTACAGAGGCGTGGTTGGAGCTTGCTGGAAGTTCTCGGTGTCACTCGGTAGAGGCTTGGCTCGTCGGGAGTTTGATCGGGATTTTAGGGAGAATTGGCCCAAAATTTTCTGAGCTCAAGAGGGGTTTTTACTTGCTAAAACATCTGGAGCTGTGAAGGAGAGAGGGAGAGAGCTTGGCTATTAATAAAAGTAATGGTGTAGTCACCACCAAATCATTTACGTGTAGAAGAGTACGAGAGAAAATTGCAGCCAGTCGAGCCAATAGACAAGCTACTGCTGCCAATGAGTCGACCGGTGGGTTTGGGACAGCCACACAACAGTTCCTATCATGCATTCCACAAAATAGCCGATTTACTCTATTTTCGTCATAGTTCGACAAGCAATTATCAACCCCTAAATTCCTAAAAGTTTAACCACACCATCTACTCAATATTCTAAGATTTATGAAATTTAAATCACATTTTTCTCACGAGTATAACTTCAGATGCGGATTTTCAAATATTACTCATCTTAAATTTGTATCTTCTTTATTTACTTGACTTCTTAATTTTTAGAATCTTTAAAATAGTTGCCCAAGCCTTTCGAGGAGCTTTCTCGAAGCTTACCTTCTTCGGGAAATAAAACAAAAAATCAAAAGTTAGTCGGAAACTCAGTCTTTCGGCCTTTGTCTCCTCGTCGTGCGTGCGGCTCGACCTCGGCTTCTTTGGCGACGGGTGCTGTAGCTGTACAGAGGCGTGGCTGGAGCTTGCTGGAATTTCTCGGCGTCGCTCGGTAGAGGCTTGGCTCGCCGGGAGTTTGATCGAGATTTTAGGGAGAATTGGCCCGAAATTTTTTGAGCTTAGGAGGGGTTTTTACTTGTTGAAAAATCTGGAGTGGTGAAGGAGAGAGGGAGAGAGCTTGGCTATTAATAAAAGCAATGGTGGAGTCAACATCAAATCATTTGTGTGCGGAAGAGTTTGAGAGCATCTTTTTTTTTTTCAGAGAGTACGATAGGGGCGGGGATGCATGATCTGCTATTAGAAGAAATATATTGATTTTTTTTTTCAGAGAGTACAATTGGGGCGGGGATGCATGACCCGCTATTAGAAGAAATATATTGATTTTTTTTTCAGAGAGTACGATAGGGGCGGGNGAAGAAATATATTAAAGGGCCCGGGTCCATTCCCTTATTCCAATTTTTCTGTGTATTTTTCACATTTAATATTGTTGTTGCTAGGACTTAAACCGTGTGGAAACTTTTAGGTTTAATCGGGATGAAAACGGGCTTCGAAAGAAGGTGCTTCGACCCTCCCGAGAGCTCGGACAGCAGACCGTGAGTCCACTGGACACGAGCAGCACACCCGGGACAAAGAGAAGCCTTGCATTGCAGCCAATCGAGCCAAGAGTCAAGCTTCCGCTGCCAATGAGTCGACCGGTGGGTTTGGGACGGCCACACAAGTTCCTAACATGCATTCCGCAAAATAGCCGATTTACTCTATTTTTGCCATAGTTCGACAAGAAAATCAACTCCAAAATTCCTACAAATTTAAACATAACATCTACTCAATATTCTAAGATTTTTTAAATTTAAATCACATTTTTCTCATGAGTATAACTTCAGATACGGATTTTCAAGTATTACTCATCTTAAATTTGTATCTCCTTGTATCTTCATTATATACTTGACTTCTAAATTTTTAGAATCTTTAAAATAGTTGCCCAATCCTTTGGAGGAGCATTCTCGAAGCCTACCTTCTTCGGGAAATAAAACAGAAAATCGGAAGTTAGTCGGAAACTCAGTCGTTCAGCCTTTGTCTCCTCGTCGTGCGTGCTGCTCGACCTCGGCTTCCTTTGCGACGGGTGCTGCAGCTGTATAGAGGCATGGCTGGAGCTTGCTAGAAGTTCTCGGCGTCGCTCGGTAGAGGCTTGGCTTGGCTCGGTAGAGCCATGCGGGTTTATCACTTATCAGTCTACACCAGTACACCATGAAACATGTCATGAAGCCAACTTCCACAATATTTTTAAATTTTCAAATCGTATATTACAAATTATTTTATTATCCATTAAATGAGCCTCCTATACAGGGCGGACGCAGACTCGCAAGATTGAGGGGGCACAAATGTAATATTTACAAAGTGCAAAAAAAATGATATTATTCTCTGCGTGTTCTTATATATTATAACACTCATAATTATAGAAATTCAAGAGAAAATTGTCCCTAGTATCACGAGCTTTATCGAAGTTGCAATTTAATCATGACCTTTTCACTTTTGTAAATTATATCACAATCTTTAGTTTGTTGCAAACAGTCTGAAAACAGTCATGGAAAAGCTGATGTGGTCGAACAACAAACTGAAGATTGTGATATAGTTTGCATGGGATATGTGATGCACCAAATTAAAACAAACTGAAGATTGTGATATAATTTGCAAAAGTGAAAAAGTCGTGATTAAATTGCAATTTCAATAAAGGTCATGATATTAAGGGCAATTTTGCCTAAATTCAAATCTCATTAAATATATCTTTTTTAAATACCAACATTTTTTTTTTTTTTTTGCATTGGATATTCTTACAACGTCAACATTCGTGGACTTCTTTATAATAATGATAAATATTTTATTAGTTAAAGCATCAATGACAAACACAATTTAGTAGCTAATTTTAAACATATTATATAATTTAAAAACACCTAAAATTCAATATGTATCAAGATCAATGTTGACTTTTGTGGAAAATCGATATAACTCATCTATATAGGTTACCTACAACATAATACAAATACATAATGCAAACAACTTAAATTTTAAGAAGATTTTTTATAATTATTTTACAATATAATTATATATGTACTAATATTTTGAAAAAATTGTACAGGGGTCCGTGCCCCTACGGGCCCCCACGTAGGTCCTCCCCTGCTCCTATATTCTTTTAAACTTCCTAACATTGTATTTCCAACATATATATAGGCTATTACATTAATTCTATATTTAACTTTTTCCCGCTCATTTTTTTGGTTATTTTTAATACGCTCCAACTACCATTTTATTTGTGTTCACATTATTAAATTTGTAATTAATACTATAATATTTAATAAAAGTTGTAGCAATTATCTCTTAAAAACAGTATAATTGCACTTTTTGTTATTTTGGTAAGGTGTATAATATTTGTTATATAACTTTTACAATATATATATATATATAGGGTCGCGCTCCAGCGAGAATGATGCTTAATGCGAGAAATAAGAATAGATTGTAGTCATTAGATCTGATGATCTAATGGTTAAAATAAGTCAAAAATTATACTTTCATTAAGAGTAATGTGGTAATTTTATACAAATCAATGCACATGTCACCTGCCAACTACTCCATAATTCGGTCAACTCATACACCACACATCCACTAATTTACTGCCACGTGGCAAATAAATCCCACCATCCCAACAACTCTTTCTCTCTCTCACACTCACACACACTATACACACACAACACACACACACACGCCTGCAAGGAAAAAAACACAGATCTACACGCACAGCACCGCCGCACCACCGGCCACTCCACACACAGCACCGCCGCACTCATCGAATCGAACGCCGCCGTCGTTCGCCGACGGCCGAGAACGCCGGTTTCGACTCCGCCATTTTTTCTTCCACCGACTCCCGCCTCTCAAATCCGACGAGAAGGTCGTCTCCTCCGGCGAGACACACAGCGACGACTGTACCTGGAGGTCGGAGATCTTCTACCACACGACACATCGCACCGGCGCCGCGAACGGTAGTCGGTCCACTTGCACCTGTCGCCGCCGATCTCAGCCACCTAGTTGCGCCGCTCAGCCGCCCGGTCGCACCGTGGTTGCCGCCTCGCAACGCCGCCATCGGCACAACACTGGTCTCGTCCAAACGATCGAGGACGCTGAGCTCGTCGTGCCGCTGGTCTTGTCAGGCACACGGCGGCCGCCGGTCTAGTCCAAACGGCATCATCCGCTGCCCGTCGCGAAACTCCGCCACCGGCCGCCGCCGACACTGGCAGTGCCCACCGCCGCATACATCCGAGTATGCGCCTCTGCTTGCGGGCTGATCGAACAACAATGGCTGGAAGAAACTACATTGGGAGATGGGTTTTTTTAATGGGAATTTGATAATCTCAAAGGACTTGATTGCAATTTTAAAGATTTTTATTTTATTCAATTTAATATATGGGGGCAAAAACCTGAACGGCAAAATTAGAATAGCAGCAGAGGATAGCACAAAGCTCCATCCAAATAAATCAGGAGAAAGAAAAAGTTGAATATGTGAACAAGAAAATCAAATATATCAAAAATTCAAATCAAAGGACTGTTGTGTGAATCGAGTTAATATTTCCATTTTTTGTTATTTTTTTTTTCTCGGTGGTTGCTCTGTTTCGAATCTCCAACTGAAACAATAAATGAGAGAGATAAAATAATTGAATCCATGTTTGGACTGTTTGAGAACTGGGAATTGCAATAAAATTACTAAAATCACGTTTGGTGTATGGTTGGTTAGAGAGAACTACATTACGTGTTGGAATCTTATTGGTTGTTGCATTACGCGTTTTGGGTGGCATTTTACTATTATCAACCTCAATTTTATTTTAATCCACCGATAGGTCCCATCACAAAGAATAATAATTTTATACTGTGATAATATAAAATAGTGCACTTTATATATCCGTAAGATGCATTTTGTAGAACAACATGTTGCACTTTATAAATCAACATGTTGCACTTTATCATCATATTTCACATTTAATACCAATATTAAAAAAATATATTAAATATAAACGATGAAAAATAAATATAATTTTATAATATAAATAATAAATCATATATATTATTTAGATTAATTCGGTTAATAGATCGAATAAATTGACCAATTAAATTTGATTTAATTTGGTGTGGATCAAACTATTAAAAATGCTTGCAATCAGATGCACATTATTGTTATATGAATTGCACTTTCATGACTATCGGATTGCACATTTTAGTCTACATGTTGTACTTTATCACCACACTTCACATTTAATGTCAATAATAAAAGAAATATTAAATATAAACATTGAAACACAAATATAATTTTATAATTTAATTAATATATCATATATATTATTTAGATTAATTCAGTTAATAGATCGAATAAATCAACCAATTAAATCGGATTTAGTTTTATGTGGATCATACTATTAAAAATGCCTGCAATCGGATGCACATTATGTTATGCGAATTGCACTTTAGTGACTATCAGATTGCACATTTTGGTCTACACGTTGCACTTTATCACCACACTTCATATTTAATGTCAATACTAAAAAAAAATATTAAATATATACGTTGAAAAATAAATATAATTTTATAATAAAAATAATAAATCATATATATTATTTAGATTAATTCGGTTAATAGATCGAATATATCGACCAATTAAATCGTATTTAGTTTGGTGTGGATCATACTACTAAAAATGCCTGCAATCGGATTCACATTATTGTTATACAAATTGCACTTTCATGACTTACAGGTTGCATAATATCGATGTGAAAATTAATAATATTATTATTATTATTTATATTTTTTTACATATTCATGTGTACATTATGTTTATACGAATTGCACATTAATGACTATTATATTCAACAATATCAAACGGAAACGACATAACCAAATTTTTCGCTACGAAAAAAATTATATTTCGAGTTTGATTATTATTACTTTATTTGTTTACTTTTAAAAAACTCGATTATTTTGATTTGATGTCATTTTTTTATTTAAATGACATAAATAACCGAAAGACAAAAAATATATAAAAAATAATATATATACTTTTTTTATATTTCAGCCAATAAAATGAAAATATAATAAAATAATAATTATGTGGCACTTTATATATTTAGGGTAAATATCTCAGGGATTTAGGGTAAATCGGATAACGAATCGATTAAACCGATTAATTCAATACAATTATAGATAGTGCATTTTATATATCAATACGTTGCACTTTGTAATACAACATTTTGCACTTTATAAAACAACACGCTGCACTTTATCACAGCACTCCACCATTAACGTCGATAACTCCGGTCAAAACTCTGCACAAGTGCACTTTATACATCAACACGTTGCATTTTGTAAAACAATACATTGCACTTTATAAAATAAAACCCTGCACTTTATGACTGTAAGATTGCATGAATAGAGAATGAAACCAACCAAACTCTTTTTTTTTTCAACCAAAAATAATATAAAAATAATAAATAAAATTCTTAACATATTAAAAATATTTTTAGTATAGTTAACAAATTATTTAGATAATTTAGAATAATTCTGTTAACCAAACCAAATAAACCAATTAATTATGTTCATTTTCAATTTGATTGGGATAAATGTTCAGTTGGTTCAATTTGCACAATACATACTGACACCGTGCACCAAAGTGTTAGACGAATCGCATGTTAATGAATGTTGGACTGCACGTTAGCGAGTAAAGTCTTGCACAATAGTGTTAATTAAATTGCACATTAGTGTCTCTCAGACTGCACACATTCAATCAAACTTGATGAATTAAAATTTGTTTCGATTCAAAATTTTACATATCGGTTCAATTAGCTTTTTTTAATTTTAAAACTTCGTTTATGTTATTTCATTGTCGACTTTATTTTTTTAAATATGCTAATCAATATTTTATATATACTAAACTTTTAATAATATACTATTTAACTCATTACTTAAAGTATATTATAATAAAGGTTCTTTAAATTTCAAATTAATCCTCATCCTTCATCTAATTTTCATAAAAGAACCACAATCAATTCATACCTTTAGTACAAATTTCACACCCCCAAATCAAACAATCGATCTGCATCCTCAACAGAAAAAAAAAAGAAAAAAAATTGAAATCTGGTCATCCCTCTCCTCTCCGGGAAGGTCGCCGCCGCAGGCTCGAGCCCGAATCGGTGTTTTTAGGCCACCGAAGTCGTCCAGGAATGGTCGACGGCGAATCGGGGCTGTGGAGTCGTCTATGCCAGGATGAGGAGGCGCGGATATCGGGCTGGGAGGGGCGGCGGGGTATGGCTGGAGAGCCGCGGCGGCCGAGCTGAATATGTGGCGACGGTTGGTTGCGGAATCGCGCTGTCGATCTGGTGATGCACGGTGGTCGGAATGTGAAGGTGGGGCGACATGTGGACGGGATCTGTCGGTCGGTTGGTGACGGTGGTGGAGGATGGTGGCGACGGAATCGAACGGAGTTGGCCGTCACTTGGTTGTTGACATGAAGTTGTGCTGGTCGGTGCTGGAATTGGCCGCCTGCAACTATTCTCGGTGGCCGTCGACACAAAATGGCAGAAGGCGGCGACGCGGGCGGAAGGAAGGTGGTGGCCGGAGACACCGCCGGCGGATCCAAGTGGGTGTGTGTTTATTTTGTGTGGGTCTGTGTAATCTGGGCGGAGGGCGTGTGTGTGAGAAGAGAGTGTGTGTTTGTGTGTGAGAGAGGTAGGGAAGTTGTTGTATATGGTGGGGCCCACATGAGATAGTGGAGGATTGTGCAATTACTAGGGTATCCTTATTAAGTGGACAAATCTATACATTTGACCATTACATATACACTTATTTACAACATTGCCATTGTCTGTTTGACCATTATTTATTAAAATTGACTTTATCATGTCCATTGATTGTACCGATCCAATGATTTATAATCATTCTCATTTCTCGCATTAAGAGTCATTCTCATATGATCCCTTACCTATATATATATATATATATATATAGATTATATAGACTAAAAAGTTCATATGTTTTATATATTTTCAATAGAAAATTTGTAATCACAAGTAATTAATATATATACAAATATACAAATATCATATTACATATGTAATTAATAGGTAATATTGAGATAAAATAATGAGTGATTTTTAAAAACATAATATGGATTAAAACGTTCATTTGTTTTTTTAATAGAAAAATTTTGAACACAATTAATTAATAACGAACAAAAATGACCCTAACAGGGTAATGCCCGAGTGTACGATCCCAGCAGGATAATAAAGTCACACTCGGGCTAACTGAGGCCAACGGCCCAAACCTAAAACACTGACAACACATAACAAGAACAAACAACGCAACAAACAAAACGAAAACTACAAACTAAGAAAACACATATGGCCTCCCTCAGCAGAAACATCTGAACAAGACAGCAGACAAAGCCAATTCTGAGGAGAGCTCCGAAGCTCAGATACCTCGCCCACTACTGCAAAAGGCCTAGCAAGACGAAGACTCAAGCCACTGAACAAACCGAAGAATCGACCCGCACACCAACCACAAGACATCTCAATCGCCCCGAACCGGCTAACACCACTTGCCAACCCGAACCATTTCGAAATTGCCTAACACCACTAGCCAATCTGAAAATAGACGGCCTCCCACAAACTCAGAAGCTGAGAAAAAGAGGAAGGAGATGAACGACATCAGAGCTCCTCTGCTCCGACCCTGCCCGGAGTAACAAACACAGCCCGAAACAAGCACTTATCCACCTAACACGCAGGGACAAATCCTGACCCGACTCTGGCCAAAGCCGAAGACCCGCACCCAGGATGACCTACCATCCCGACAATAAAGGACACTCCGTCCAAAGATTGAACCCGATCACCCCACCCAGCCACCAAAGACGGACCATAGCTCTCCCGCTACCACACCAATACGCCTGCGCACGGGAGCCGAAAAGAAAACTGAGGCTGTCGATAGAGGCTAGAAAGTGGTGAAACTTGAACAGAGACGACACAGCTAACACCCAGCCACTGGTGCCGCACTCCACCTACCCGCTTCACCCTGGGACTCCGGCGGCTCAATCGCAGATCGACGAAATAGCGGCGAGGTCGCCGTAGATCTGAATCCGCACCCCACGTCCAGAGAGAGAGAGAGAGGTGAAAGTGCCACAAACATCGGCGTGTTTGC